CATTTGGAGATGTTTTATCATGTAGGTTGAGTTTTCTGCTTATTCTGCCGAAGGCAACTTTTGTACATCGTGATGGAGACAGTGCATACTTGTACATCCTAAAAATCATCTTTGGTAACATAATAGTTCTTTTCCGTCAGAGCGAAAGCGCAAATAGGCGATACATTAAAGAACCTCGCTTCCCTACCACAAACCCAATACCAAACTTGCGCTGTTTAGTGGGCAATGTAACAATAACAATGAAAGCTACAAGGATCTATATACTTCAGTCGCACTTCCTGGATGGCGATGATGTCAGTTTTACTTTTTGCGAGTGCCTACATCAATCAGTTGGACAGTGGTACCTTCTTAGTTAAGACACCGGACATTCCAGACAGAAGCCCTTAATACGTTTGTGGTGGTCAAAATTCTCATCCGAGTCTTACAATTGTGAACTATGTGGCTTGTCCCAAACAACTTCTCTTGGGAGAGAATGTATTGAAACTACATTGAACATATATGACGGCTAAAGTGATTTTCTGCCGAACTCCTACTCAAATTTGTGGTCTACGTCTTGATGTTTACACCAACAAATGGATGAACCTACAGTTTATACTAAGCGACCTCCGAACGGCTGATGGTTTTTTATGAGAAGCTTTCATTTCATGTAAAAAATAAGCTCGGAGAGGTTGAGATTCCCTGTCGAGAAGCCACAGCAATAAGAAATATAAATTTTCTATAATTTTGGATGTTGGTTTGGGTAGGAATCAAACCCGTCGACCTCCATATGGAAGTATGCGTTGTTAATCAATTGGTAAATGCCGCGGAGGGGGTATTATTTCGTAGTTATATAGAGAGCCGTTTGCGGCAAGACCGGCGCCCACCCGCAGCCGCATCTCTGGTGAATCGACGCTGCTAAGAGACATCAGTGAATCCTTATACCGAATATCTACGCGGGTCTCCACTGAAGTTTTCTCTCCTTTAGCCGTGAACCAAGACTTCACACACGTGTTCTTTACCGCATTTTGCGTTCAAACGATAATTGATCCTTCGTTGTTGCGAATTCCAGAATATTTGGAAAATGCTATTGCCCGCACAGTTTTTAAGAATTCTGCCGAAATTTAATTAAAATTTCGCTCTTTCTATACCACGAAACAACGTATGAGTACAAACAAACACAAACAAAATCTAACCAGCCTATATATGTATAGACACATATACATACATATGTATGTACATCCATATGTACTTAATATATATATGCAAAGTTGCAGCAACAACCTGTGCGTTTCTAATATAAATAAGAATACAAATAAGCGAATTCATATACATACATATATACAAATGTATCCAAACAGCAGCCCTTTCTAGCTACATACCTACATACGCTCATAGTTGACGTTGGGCCTGCAGCATATGCTGATTGTACACATTCGAGATGTGCCTATTAATAGGCGACCTAAAGAATTCACTTTATGAGCCGTTGCGTTCTATTATTAACTAGGGAGTAGTATGAAGCCTCCAAAGTACGAGTAGCAGCACACATAAGGAATAGCATATATATATATATATATATATACTCGTACATATATACAAAGATATATAGTATGTTTAACATTAATATAAATTATAAACAAAAGAGAAAGTAAGACAATTGTCTATATTAATATACATACATACATAGATCGATGAAAGTGATATAGGGTGGTGGGGTAGAGCAAAGAGGAAAGTGTGTCAGAAATATATGCTAGGAATTTTATGAATGTGATCAAGCATAGGATTGTCAATTAGCATGGCAACGTTATAGTGGTAAGACGGACGATTAGTATGGCTGGATGAATAACTAAATACCTAGATGATTGGTGTGTTAATCAGCGAGGTGTGTGTGTTTGGTGTGTGGTGTGTGGCGTGTGGTATTCGTTTAGATATTTGTTAGCTGGAGTAATAAAGTGGCAACAAATGAGAAAAAAATGCCAACATAATTGTACATATGTATGTATGTATATATTGAAGCAGACACGTAAATTAACATATGGCACATTCGAATATTTATATATGTATGATATGTATGTATGTATGTATGCAAGTATATGTAATAGTTTTATGGGTGGAGACAACTCTTGGGAAATTGAAATATTAGCTATTCGGAGGATAAACATTTATACGAGGAGAGGCACTCATGACGGCATATGAAAGAAGTTAATAAATCATATATTAAATATTTATTAAAAAAAAATCTATTAATTTCAAATAAATAAATTTCTAATGAGTTGTAAAATAATTTGAAAAATTTTTAATTTTGTTTTAAACACTTTACATTTTATTTTAAACACTTTATAAAATATTTTCAAATTGTGATCGCTTCACAGCAGAGAACTCCAACGCCTAAGAGTGTATTTCGGACAGTGAAATAAAAGCTCCTCACAAAAATCCATTGGTCATGCGGAGTCGGCTTAGGTCTCTTCATTTGCACTTACCAAGAGTTTCATTCAATAATTTCATTGTTTGGTTGGCTACATGGCATGTAGACCCGCCGCCTTGCTGGAATTAAAGCTCGCCTACACCCAAAAAACGAAGAGGTCATTGATCCCGGCTCTTTATGTTACCTATTGATTGTAACATTCTGCTCATAGAGCACACCATAAAATAACTTGTAGTTGCACATCAGCAATAGTCACTAAATTGTGCTTCATCTTTGCTGAAAAGAATTTTCTTGTGAAAATTGAGTTCGGTGATCAACTCATTTTGGGTCCACCCACCGAAAGTGCGACGCGCTTGATGGTAATTGTGCTTTAATTCTTACACGAATTGGATTTTGTAAGCCCGCAAACCAACATCCTTCCGAAAAATCTTCTAAGTGAATGGACAACGCTCCAATTGTGTCGCGCGATGACGAATGGCCTCTTTAGAGTCCTCTTCGATACTTCGCTTCTCAGCAGTACACTTCACGGGTACTCTGAGGATGCGCATTGTCCACTAGAGTAAACGTGGTGCGAAACCGATCCATGGTCGCTCGAATTGCCAACTTTTCTAAACGATTATATCAACCGAATACTAGACTCGGCGAAATAATTTTTAGGTAATAAATTTTGCGTCATTTAAATAAGTTGCCAAAAAGTTCAAATTTCAAAATAAATATTGTCTTATTGAAACCCATACGTCTAAAATAACACCCTTTACATATGTTTGCATGTAAATAATTTTATAACATTAATATATATAATTGACATTTTAGCACCGCAGAAGCGATTTTCGACGGTGATCATTCGCCAATTGGTGAATTTCAATATAGATGTGCGTATATATTTTTTTGTATTTATGTGTATTTTCCGCACATACACACACCTCCCTACCAATGTTATCAAACTGTCAACAATGCGATAAATAAATATTTAACCCTTCCCTGGAAATTTTATCGTATCACATCTGAATTTTTACGGAAATGTAAATATTTATTGGCTTAAAGTTATGACACTCATATTGTTTACATTTATTGCAAAAAAAATAAAAAAATTTAAGTTGAAAAATTGCATTTGCACATTATTTAAAGCATCGATTTTTCATTTACTTACTTTCTTCAAAAAAAAAAAAAAATAAATAAATAAATATATAAAAATAATAATAAATATTGAAACATTTAAATAAATATAGCTGATTCAAGAGGTTTGCAATACTCATTCATTGTTTATACTTTAAATTCCACGAATACAAGCGCAAGGCAATCAATAAAAAAAAATAATATTTAATGAGTACCAATAATATTTTATTTCATAATAGTTGGTGCAGATTAAAGTTAGTTAATTTGTCTGTTTGCACATTACCATCTCTGCGGTGCCCTTACCACACAACAGCATTTGAAATTTAAACCATTTTTCAGCTGCTACCAACTGCAGGTGAAATATTTTTGTACATACTCTCCAACTGTTATGCACATACATATTATATATTAAATAATATTTCTTTTTAGTTCATTAATGCTTTCTTTCAAAATATACTAAACAATTTCCACACATCCAGTCAGTCCCTCAATGCAATTTTTAATTAGCTCACTCTTATTTCATTCTATGTACACTCTCATTAGCATTCTCTTACCTTCGACTAAAATGTGCCAATCACAGTGGCACGGAAATCATATAAGCTTATGTAGAATTTTTGTAGTCAGCAGATTGTGTTGTCATTCCGTAAAGTTTAGTATTTTTTGTACAATATATGAGCAAACCGTATTCCAAGCAATTGAGATCCAAGACGCTGTTAAAAATTCTGAAGAGGTTTTCGACAGAGGTCCTCATCAAATTACAGATGCACTGACACATTTAAATACACAATCATTTGTCGGAACCACTATAAACTATGACGTATAGGCCACATGCATCGATTTTTCTACATATATGAAATTTTAGACAAAAATCTGTTAAAAAAGCTATTATGGGCAGAAACATTGCCAACAAAAATCATCTAAATCTCTCGACTATACCTAACAACGCCTATATAACCGTTTTGTCAGATAAAATCCAATACAATAAGTTTTATATGTACATGAAAGTTATATAGACTTCCGCATGGCTGAAAACTACACTCACTTCTTGTTTTTTCTTAAAAAAAAATTCAAAATTTCAAGTCCAGAAAATTTAAATCCAGAAAAACTCTTTTAGAAAATATTTTATAGTTTTATTACATTCATTTTCACGAATTATTAATAATAAAAAAAAAATCAGAATAAGGAAAAATTTTGTTTCAATATCCTTCTCAAGGGAGATAGAATAGAGCGTTGCGGTAAATTAAAAAATTAAAATTATATTATTTTGGCATTCAAAATAAACTCTTCAGTGTGATTCTGATTCCATTTATACTTTCGCTAAAACGTATTCACTTCGCTGAAGAGAAAAAAGTTGACAAATTGAAACACTATACTATCATAAGTTTATATCCATTTGATCTCAATCACCGCCCACTGTACGCGGCATTTCAACGCACTCGCCGATAACGTAGCGAAAATGTACGAACTGGCCAATGGAGCATACGTAAGTTTGTTTTCAGTGTTACAGTGGCAGTCAAAAGCGTCACACGGATATAAAATTCGTCGGTTGTGTTGAATGTGAGTGGGTGGTGTGCAGACAGAAGAGTTTGTTAGTTTTGTTAAGCTCGCGCGATTAAAACGTGACTTCTGAGTGGTAAAAATCTTTTTCACATTTATATAAGCATACATTTACATAAATATGTATATGTATGTGTGTGAAAATCGCTTGTTCACTGTGTGAAAAAATATACATAAATGAAAAAGCTGAGTGCAAGATTTGAGATGGTGCGTGGGTTTTAGCCACAAATGTGTTAATAAATTAGCAACTGTTTAAATTTATGTACTGCTATATATCGCTTATTAAAATTTCCTTTTATTTGAGCCGCTAAATATTTGAATGAAAGTCTTTTAAGAGTTAATGTGTGAAGGAAATTCCTTTAGGGCTTGAATCGAAGAAAGTTTGATTTTGTATCAAAAAAGGCTTTTATTAAAAATCCTCAAAATGAAACTCTGATAAATATCATATGGGCAATTTATAACTTTTCCTGTGAATTGACTTTTAAATCAATAATAAGTAAGCCAAATGAATTTCTGGTGCTAAATCATTTTTAAAAATATTTAAAATATTTATTTTCGCTTAAAATGTATCATAATTCAATAGTTTTTATTGATAGAATTTCCTTGAAGTATATAAATTAAAATATCGTCACATTCATAGTGCAAAAGTGCAAAATGTCGTGTTGATAAAAAATTTGGCACAAAAATGTGAAAATATATCAGCTTGTATTAGATGTCGGCAAAAAAATGGAGTAATTAAAATTAACTACTTCTTCACTTAGGCGATTATAACTCTGTCTTAACACAACTAAAAATATTTAAAATAATTATTTAATTTTACTACCACTATTTTTTACAAAAAAAAAAAAATGAATTAAAAAATAAAATAAGCAAAAAACTGGACTGGAAATTTTCGCTGTACAATTCGTATCGAAAAAAAACCATTAAGAAATAATTAAAACAATGAATAGTACCAAATAAAGAATCAATCACAAGTGACCAATAATAATTAAAAAAAAAAACTATTTTAAAAATTTCGCTCCACCAAAAACATGTAAACAATGCTAATGCATGAAATATGCGCTCGTGTATGAACAAGTGATGTGTGAAAAGAATTTGAAATAATTCATATGCAAAGTACCGGATACTTTTTTTTTCTAAATTTCTATTATTTTTATTTATTTTTTTATTTTTTTTATTCAAATGCTAATTAACATTTCTAAGTGTCGGATTTCAGAGCTATACGGCTGCAGCGTAACTGATAATGCGCGGCATGCGGCATGAACAATGGAGCGTATAGAAAAAGAAAACAGAAAAAATAACAACACAATTTGTAAAAATGAACTACACAAATGAGTGCTCATTACAACAACAACAATAATAATAATAATAATAACAACAGCAACAACTAGCAATTTGAACGACATTTATTTGTCCGGCTCATTTTCTTTGATAGGTTTCTGAATCCAACTCCAAGTAGTAAATAATACGTTTACTCGTATAAACGAATCTATTCCAAGTATTTAAGTGTCATATATGATAGTAATGTAAACAATGTGCCGTGTATGTTTATAAAATATTAAAAAATATAATAATTTATTTCAACAAAATATTAAAGTTACAACAATTAGAGTTAAGCGTTCTCGCATTCACTTCTTTATGTTTACTTATTTATTGAAATAAGCATGGAAAATGCACTCGACGAAAAGTGATAAGAATGCGCGAGTGACCCACCACCACAAACAACAACAACAACAACAACAACATGGTTTACAAATAATCAATGATGTTTATGCCAAGAGTCAAAACATTTGTTTAAAAATTTCACTTCCCGCAAGGCAATTGAGTTGCCTTCACATGCACCGCGTATCGGATGTCATAACAACAAAAAGTGTAACTAATCTATTGCAACGATATACGACAATTGGTAACTTCTGTCAATGCCTGAGTTTATGCGCTAGTCACCGCCACCGTAATGAGCCGCAAGCTGTGTCGGGTTATCAGCAAAGTTCAACGGCAACAGTTAGTAAAACGAAAAGTACGCTTACAAAGCAAACGCTTATCAATACGAATATGATTTCCAGCAGCTTTACACCAACCGCACACACTGAAATTGCGCGAAAACGTCAATTAACCCGCTCGCCTTCGTTGATTTTGCTTACGCTATTACTTTTGTGGTTTTCGCATTTAATTGGCATCTCTTACGCCGCGCCACAATCTTGTGTACTCTGTGATATAAGTGATTTTAAAGATAAAGCATCTGACGGTACACACGCTTATGAGGAATATCATTTTGAGCATCAAGTGTCGCGTACGGATGCGATTGCGGCGTTGAAGACATTTAATGTCAGCAGTTATAGTGGTAAGAGCGGAAGCGGCCGAAATTTGTGCAAAAAGTGTATTGTGATTGATTTGTGTTTCTGTGTTGTTTGCTCTCTCTCTCTCTCTATCTCTCTATCGTAGAGCCCACAGGTTGCGCGATTAGCTGCACGGATAAAGTGATGAAATATTGTCTAGGACAACAATTCATAAACGATCATTGTTGGTGTGAATTGGGGCATACGGAGGGTGAGTAATGAAATTACATACTTCGGGAAAAAATAACCTATAAAAAGAAAAAGTTGATATTACTAGTAAAGAATGTAAGTTTGTTGTGAAAAAAAAAAATAAACGCAAAAAATAGTAACAATTTATAAATTTTGATTAAAGACAGTTTGAAAATTCTAATTGAACGCTTTTTAATTTTTTTACCAAAAATTAATTTGGTTAAATAAATAATTTAATAATATTTAATACAAATAAATTTATATTTAACATTTTTAATTAGTATTTATTATTATTTATGGTTTTTCGATACTTTACGTAGTTTTTACTTGCAGCAAAAAGCTTAAAAAACGAAAAATTGTCATAAATACAAAATAATTCATGCGTTATTTGTTTTGATTTAAATTATTTGTTGCTCCGGATTTTGTTATTAAATTTTAATTGAACACTCTTTTAGTTTATGAGCCACAAAATTTTGCCATTAAAAGCTATTAATTATTATATTTTTAATTTAATCTAATTCATTTATAGTTTTTTTGTACTTCATAGTCTCTATATTTGAAAGTCTAACTCAATACCCTTTTTTTATTTGCTTTTAATTTATTGCACTATTATTCCCATGTCAATTGTCACCTCGCATTTAGTTCACATAATTAATATAATGCTTACTTGTCAATTTGTTTATGAAATAACAGATTTTTTAAAGGCGGCTAATTTGCAGTAATAGGTGGTGGGGGCATAATTAGTGCAATAGGCTATGTGCTTTTTTAGTAATTAAGGTTTTAAATAAAGATTAGAAAAAAATTCCGAAGTTTATTTGATTACATTAATTAAAAAATATATATACAAATTCAATTTTGATTATTAAATATTTATTTTATTTTTATTTATTTTTACTCTTATTATTTATTTATTTATTATAACCTCTACTTTTTGCTTGGAGCTTTATGTTTGTTAATACTTTTTAATGTTGATCAAAATGGACCACCCTTATTTAAGCATTTTAGATTAATAAGAAAAAAACCTAATTCGAATTAGAATTATTTTACACATGAATTGCCAGGCATTGCTATGCATCAAAGCTGCTGACAACAACGACTTGGAAATATTGTTTTTATTGAGGTAATGACATTAAGGAAAGTTGACAGTTGTAATATTTTGTTAAGGCGCTGTCAGACATAACAATTTTTTTCTTCCAAAGAAATTGTATTAAAAATAACAAGGTAGATGATCTAAGTGGGAATAACTACGAACAATTACGTAAGACTAAAATCGGGTGACATTGCAAATTAGTCATTCGGCTGATATTTAACGCAAGGTGAAGGGACTAAAGCCAAGTTATAGGAAAGGTAGGCTGGTTTGCGGACCCATGTTGGTATTTTTTTTCTGCAACTCACTCAAACGAGATGTAAGATCGAATAAATCGATCGATAAACTCATTAAATATTCCACTCTTAAGTCCGAAGATCGCTCATAAATTGAAGTTCTATTATGGGGCAAGTTAGTATATTTCCATGTACATCAGCTATTTTTCGTAAGTCCTTAATGCTCCTTCAAATTAAGTTTAGTTATGAATTCTCTTGATTTATGCCTTCAATATTCGATCTTCGTCAAGCGGAGAGTGTAAAGTAAAAAGCCAGTTTTATTAAAACTCATATTCTTACTAGATCATAGAAATTAAGAAGCAAAAGATTTTATGTTGAATTCGGTTTAGTGGATTTTGAGTTATATGTGCCTTTTGACCCATATTTTTCTACTTAATGCGATTGCGATTTTCGATTATTTTTTCAAATTACCATTATATGAGAGGTGTGTGTGGATTTAGCTCAATTTCAACCATTCACAATGGCGGTCGTACTTGTAAACCAAGGAATGTGTAGAGGGTTTACCGTCTCATCTTTAATTGCGCTCGCCGCTATTCACTGAAGCATTAGTATTACAATTATATAATTATTATTAGCAAGTCTTACAGCTCGCTTTATTGGTCCTGTGGCAAAAGAGTCATTTTCTGAAATACACCTGATGAATAAGCGGCTCTTCCCGAACAGCCGATGTAAGCTTCTTCTTGGAGCAGACGTTTATACTTAAGTTATCCTCTATGGTCTACGAAACTACGCATTAGGTTCGTTGCTTCTCGGCTAATATTCGTTTCGATTTTCAAAAACCAGTCTTAGAAAAATAAAACCGATAAAGCTGAAAAACGGCTGAAGCAACACTGGAGATATCGGCAGCACTACCAAATAACGAAACGAAAACTAACGGCTGACGAAATCGTCCTTTCCGACAACCCATTCCGATAGTGTGTATCATAAATCATTAAGTCTTTACTAACTGAAATAATTAAAAAAAAATGGGTTATCAAATTTTTGCAAACAATTTTTGTTCCAATTGCTAATACAACAAAGAAATTTTAATGTTTTTTATTTCAATTTAACGGCCTTAAAGCTTTAAAAATATATTAACTAAAAAAATTTAATTATTTTAAAAAATTTACTCAAAAAAGTTGAAAAAAAGAACCAAAACCAATAATTGCATGCGTTAAATATTACTCCAGATTTGTAGAAAAAATCAATGAAAGTTAACAGCAGTGAGGGAAATAAAGTGTTAATGCATTTTCAAACACATTACATACATACATACATATGTATGTACAAATATAAATTCCATTGCTAACTGGTGAAATTAGTGATCTTTTCGATAGGCTGTTAATTGTAGCAACCTCGGTACTGACTATATTTGTACATATGTTACATAACATGCATATCTGTAAATCTTTGCTGGTACATACATAAATACATATATATGTATGTGTGCGAATACAATGTTTAAAAACAAAACGCAACGCAACGCAACGCTCTAAAAATCGCATGACCTGAACGAAATATAAAAACAAATAAAATTTATAAAAATACATTGAAGTATATACATACATACAATTGCATAAAAACCCACTAAACACATTTATTTTATAGCGCCAGCGAAAAAAAAATTCTATAGAAATTGAATAAAATATATTGGTTGTCACGTTTCTTATTTCGATGGTTAGTGGCATTTTATAGTTGTTGTTTTTTTTACGTATTAACACGTTTGCATAGATTTCTGTAAGCACAAATTATTCTTTATCTATGCGTTCTTCAATATGCATTATTTTGGAATTTTTCATTATAACCATTGGATTGTGTTATAAAATACGAATGCAAAGTTAGTGTTAAAAACATTCATTATTTTTTATATACTCACAATATTTGTCTAAATATACGAGTATATGCACATACGAGCGCTTTTAAGTATTTTTATATGTATGTACAAGTAAAAAGAAATGGACTTGCTACCTAATATTATTGTATCTACCGGCCGCCGGCTGCGTCTTCATTGCCATTAACGTACGCAATGCCTATTCAGTACAGTTGAAACGCCAGGCATGCAGCTACATATGTGTGTATGTATGTATGTATGTATGTATGTATGCATGCATGTATGTAGTTGGTATGCAAGGCGCGCACAGGGCTTAAGTATTAGTTGTTTTTTAGTTTGTTTGTTTTTATAAATATAAAAATAACAACAACAACACGCGAATAAACATTATAATGACGTGCAAATTATTTTAAATTCTGCATCGAAAGGTACGAGAAAAACTATTAAAATCTTAATATGTACAAGCAAAGCCTTGCATACAAAAGTAATAAAAGTATGTTTGTATGTATAAAATTGTATGTACCTATAATATATGCATATACTGTTGGATATTTGAATAGCAACTTTTATTGATGACTTTTATTGATAGAAACCATAGTACAGTGTGATTACAGTCTCGTATGTATGCCTCTATCTAAATATGTTTGTACAAATATATTATATAAAATAAAATTACTTTCATGGCGTTTTGTTAGTACAATACGCGTACAATCGGTTTGTCTTAGGTGTCGCTGCACACATAAATAATTGCTTGTCAACACCGGTAGATACCAATTGCCCAAGTTGACGATTTCGCATTAGGTGGCATTTTTATATTAGTAAAGGCCGTCATAGCGCAAAAAAGGGAAAACCAAACACCTTCAAATTTGTAGCATTCACTTACCTTTTACCCTATACGCTAAAGCATAAAGAAATAGAAAGAAAGAATTGGCACGGAAACCACAACAATTTACCTCCAAACGTACTAATATGTATTTATGTATGAGTCAGTATATTGTATGTAAAAAAAAAATTAATTTTTCCAAAACTTATTTAAAATTCTTACATAGAATTGCATAGCTAGCGCCGCTTCCGCTCTGCTGCAATTAAATAAGTAATAATAGAAATACCGAGAAAATACCATTTGATGGGCATTAATAGAAGCGCGTAAGAAAATTAAATGATTTTTAATTTAACTGAAAGAAAATTTATTCTTTATGAGAATATTGCTTATTAATGCAGAGCTAACCAAAACTTTTGGCACTATTATTGCCTTCCTTGTTAAATATGAGCTCCAGGAAATTTTTATTGCAAATACAATCCTGAAACCTGAACCATGCGCAGTTTGAAAGCCACTGCATATTGAACAGCGCTCAACTGTCAACTTTCAATAAATTGACAACTACTGAAGTTCTTCTGATATACAAAAGGCAGAATAAAGGAAAAACTTCGGCTATCGTTAACAATATTATTTATTTACACATTATAGTTCTGGACCAATTGCAATGGTTCGGATTGTTCTACGGAATAATATAATATAAAAGAAAATTCGGGAAATGGATCAATTATCAGCCTTTCCGAAGCAATCGTATTTTTGGTTCGATTTTCTTCCGATTAGGTACGCAGGTAATTTTATGCTTAGTTTAATATGACCGATAACTTTTCTCTGGAGAAAAAATCATTTTTTTTTGTTCGCTTTACTTGAAATATGATAGTTAAATTAACTAAGATATTTTTTTTCCAGGTGTTAGTTGAATTTTCTTTGGTAACTTTATGTTAATATCATAATCATTGGTCTCAATTTCGTAGCATAATTGTGGCGTCGAAGCATCCACTTATTTTGCCCTTAG